CGTCTCGTCTCTCTCTCTCTCTCTCTCTCTCTCTCTCTCTCTCTCTCTCTCTCTCTCTCTCTCTCTCTCTCTCTCTCTCTCTCTCTCTCTCCCTCTCTTTCTTTCTTTCTCTCTTTCTGCGAAATAATACAGCGAATATTAATTGTTGCTGGCCTCCAACATAGAAATGGAAAATATTATCCTTTGCGACTCAGCCCTGCCATAGTTCGAAAATTCTTGAAATTTTATATATTTAATACGATGACATATACGAGTGTGCATTATTTGCTGTTATGCTATTTTCATATTTGCCTGTGTTTTTACGTTCGGTCCCGATATGTTTTACAAAAATTTCATAGCGCAAAGTATTCTTTCTACCAGCAATACGATATGAAACTAGTCACTGTCGTTATAAAATTGTTGTCGTACACAACGATGAACAATTAAATAACGACCGAAAAGAATCCATTTTCCGTGAAACTGGATTCTTGTGCTTCGAAACGAGATATTGCGCTTTTAATTTCCCTTGAATTTTTGTGCGCTGTATTTCTTAGAAAAAAACCACACCCCTATTATATCCCTTGACGTGAACGCGGAGAGATAATTACCTCTGTTTTACATTTTAAAACTGTTAACTCGTATGCCGAAGGGAGAATGATTGTAATTGAGTTTTATGTTGAAGTTTCAACATCTCTTTCTCTATCTCTCTTTCTGAAGAAATTAAATTTATTTACTGTCTACTGTGAATTAAAGCTCTTTTACCGTGTAACCGGAACGTTTCCATTCCATCGGACTAAGTGAAATCACCATTCACGAAATATCCGAGCGATATGTTCACCGGTCGCGAAAATTCGCTCGCAATCGCGCATCGGAAATAACGTCGCTCCGCCGTTTCTGCGTTTAAATCCAAAAATGCAAAATTTCATGGACCACTGCACGCAGAAAATCATGGTAAATGCCGGACGGACGGAAAAGAACGGGACTGTGCCGCTGCGAAGAATGCAATATCCGTTTAAAGGAAATTTGTTATCAGCGCAACTGTGAACGCATCGTAATTCTTGCAAATCAAGAATCGATACCGGCCAACTATCCGGCAGAGGGATGAGGAGTAGTCGGACGAGTTTTGTTATACAGGGTGTCCCAGACCTGGACGGCGCTATTATTCCGTGGCAAGAGGGTTAAAAAATAATTACGACTGTTTCGATATCGAGAAATTAATTTTAGACCTAAATAATCGAGAAACGAGGGTGAATTGAGCCGCGCAATTTCGATGGGACAGGAGTATCGCTCGCGCTTTAATCAACAGTTTTTATGTGAGGACTTTAAATTAGAACATTTCAACAAATCACTCAGAGGAGGGAAATAATTTAAGACTTGAAAAAAAAAATCGATACGGGATATATATTACAAGTTCATCGAATATTACGCAGTAGCTGCTGATGCCATATATCTGTTCCTCGCACAAAGCAACCATATTGCGTTTTATGTTGGAGGAAGGATTACCGGGTTACATGAGTCGAGAATCAGCGGAAGATATATTGCACGCATAATCGGCTGCAACACGCGCACTGCTGAATTATGCATCGGGAGACACGAAGCAAGAGAATTTGATTTGATGTTAAAGATTATATATAAAGCGAGAAACATATAGGACGCGCGCATACGCGCGTGAAAGCCCAGGAGAAATTAATGAACTTCACGAAATAGACTTTTAATACCGCTTCCTTTTTTTTTTTTTTAATACTTGTGTTCACGTTTTTTTAATACGCGACTCTCTTCACGTGTGAAGATCCAGATCAGATTTACAAGTTCGCTCTTTTGTCCTTTTTGCGTATATAAAAATTTTTCACATTTCACATATTCCGTAATTTTTACATTCCATTCACGTTTTACGATATAAAGCTCATCTGTTCTTAAAGTTCACGTCAATAAGCACACGGAGAGGAGGGAATTATACAAGCTCGTATGGCTGCCAATTAGGAACAGATGTTAATTACTGCTTGAATCGCGCGGATAAAAACCGACGTTAGTTTCTACTAGTAATCTAATTCCGATAGGTGCGGGGCGTCGGCGTTTCTCGCCACCCCTCGCGGAAAGATTTCACCCCTTGCGAAGTAAACCGGCGCAAGTCGGTCGTTCAAGTCTAATGTGTGTAAGCCTATCTTATATACGTGGCCCCGGGGGTTTAATCGCAAAACGTTTGATTTATCGTTCGCAGGGGCACCAGCGGTATCGACATAGACCTCCGCCGGGTAGACATAGATCAGTGCCCGTTGCCGGCTGGATCCACGCAGCTGAACATATTCGCCGCCAGTGACAAGTGCAAAAAGCGCACCACCGAGGTAATGCTAATTTCTCCTGCCGCATTCTCCTCGAGGATCGATGTTTCCCGCGAGTGTCCTTCCCCGTGTCGGGCGCGACGCGCGCTTAAATGCGCCGTACGGAGTAGGGCAAAACCACCAGGGGGATGTTTTTCCGCGTGGCGACCGACTCTATTTGTAAATGCCACTGTCGACCCTACCGCGCTACCATCTAGCTTTCGCGTGAAAAACACCCCGCTCGCGTTTTTGCCTCCCCTCCCCCCTCCTCCTCTCTAACAAACCGCGCGCCGGTTATCGGTGTGTTTTATCTTTTCATAGATTAAAATTCGCAGAGGGGAGAAGGAGGAAGAAAGAGGGAGGGATATGTCATAGGTTTTTAAAAATGTTCAGGTTTTAAATTTTTATCGCGCCTAGATTATTGGATAATTGAGTTCTTGCGGTTTAGATTGTCAGAATAATATTTAAATTGTAGTATAAGTCACGTACCTACCATCGCGGGGCTCTTGACAAATTTTACGGAACGTTTGCCGTAGTATAAAAGCTTGAATGGGACCATCTCGCCGTTAATTTCTCTTTGCAACGTGATTTTAAATTCTCCATTAAAATTTAAATTACAAATTTTTAACATCTTCGTTTTTATGGAGATGTCAGTCTAAATTTTTAAAAGTTCAGCTATTCCTCACGTAAGGGTAAGTAAATACTCGGGGAAAAATCCAGGAAATTGCAGGGAATGTAAAATGGCGTACATATCACTGTCGGCCGATGCCTTATGTAAACTCCAAACTTTAAACCTCGTGTTTTTTCGAAACCGCGTTTTTCCGATTCGCGGCTACGATAACTCACGAACTTGGAGAGGATCGCAATTTGGAGGGAACGTTTTCGAGCACACTTCTCCCCATCGTGTCGGTCACATGAACTGCGGGCTTTCGACGGATAAAACATGTTCGTTGTTATAAAAACGATATAAGAATCATTTTTTACACTTTTTTGCTTTTTATCTTTTATGAGGCTATTTTATTTTTCTACTTTTATTTTTATTCGTTCGAATAAAACTACCGTGGACTGGTCGATTTCGCAGCATGTCCCTAGTTTATCATAGTTCTTCATTTTAATGGATTATAACTGCGATATTTTTTAATATTACTCCGCATTTTTTTATTTAAACGGTAATAGCGTGACATAAATGTGCAAAAAATGATATATTTCGCCAGTTTTTCACTACGCGCAATCCTCCATAATAAAATGTTTTTAATTTTGCTGTTTTAAATAGGTCTCTTAAAACTTTAAATTAAAGTTTCATAGATTAAATCCTAAAATATATTAAAGTTTGACATTGAAACATTTTCTGTATTTATTATAAAATTTGCCTTTATTTCCTTCGAATAAGACTTTCAGATGTTACGATTTAAAAATTAATTAAATTATTATTTCATTAAAACAATATTTGAAGTGTGCTTTGTACATTTCTTTCTGTCCTTAATACGTATTTGTGCGAGCAGATTGAATAGGCTAGAACTTGAATTATTTTGTAAAATGCAAACCGTATATATTGCAACGAAATATGGATTTTACGATCAAGGAGTATATTCGATCATTTTAGCCGAGAGATCCGCAAATCAAATCGCAAAACAATTTCGACGGGTTACAGCTATCTGTATTAACGAAAGGGTTGGACACGTATATGGAGCCCTGATTAGATACAATTGTTCGTTTTGTCTTCTATTCGCAGTGCATCGCCATTCCCGGGCTTGGCTTCCGCCGCGGTAGTTATCGATGCGTTTGCAAACGAGGCTTCTACTACCCGGACACGAAATCGGACAAGAGGTACTACAATGGTACGGTCATTGAGGAAGAGTACGAGAGATTGATGATGGTGAGTAGTTTTGAAGCCGAGCTAATATGTAAAAACAGCACCGCTCTCCATTTCACGCTCCGCGAAACGCCTAATGCCACGTTTTATCTGCCGTGTAACATCTTCTTTTTCGCAGAAACAGAAATTACTCCACCGCGGAATTACGTTAACAAAATATGTAAGATATTTCGTCCCCTCCCCCTGCCCTCATAAAACTTTAAAAGCGCCCATCGTAATAATAATTCCTTTGCCAAATATAAAGCTGATCAGTGGCAAGCATCAAAAGTATATTGATAGAAGAATCTCTCATTAAAATTTAACGCGATGGAAAAATGGAAGGCGCCCTGTACACGCATTGTATCGACTATCAATTTGCGAGTGTCTACAGAAATGAGTAGGTTCTAGATTGAAAAATAACTTACAATTTTCGGTGGGTCTCAATCAATTCTTTTCCCGTATACGTATCGATACGCAATTACGACTGAACAATTGTTTACTCTGAAAAAAAAAACCGGACAAAATTAATTCGTTTTTTACAAAATGTTTAAAAAAAAAATAATAAAAAGATTGATAATGCGAACGTGTGTTTAAACTTCGATAAATTCAATACGTCGTTGCGCATGTAAAATGCCCGTGTCTGGAATATGGGATGGTCTGGCATGATATCGGGATCGCATTGTCCCACTTTCGTTCGCGCGTTCGGCTCTTCGTTCTCTTCGGCTTCAAAAACAGAATCGCCGAGTGGAAGATCGCCGCGACAACGCAATTAGATCGTCCCCGGCGGCAACGGCGTTACGATGCGTTACGTAATGCCGTTTGCCGCGCATTCTATTACCGCGCGAACGGCGCGGAGAAACGACATTTCTTTTTTTTTTTCCTCCCCCCCTTCCAGTGCAGTTTTCACGTCCGTCGGACCAGCCGTCACTTCTGTGCTCGTAGGAGCGAAATGGGTATTGACAGCGAGGCGCGATGGCATCTATTGTCACCACGCGTTACGTATCTTTTGTGATTTGATGGGCATTTCCATCGCGGGCGCGCGCGCGCGCGACGGTAAAACTATTTTCCAGTCGCGCCCTTCAGTAGTTGGCGCGACCGTTTGTAACCGCAAACGGTTACAATGGCTGACATCTCCTCCTCCGAATATCCTTAATAACCGAGAGTCCGGGATATTAACGACGTGTCATCCTTTTTTCTGTTCCCCCTTTTTTTTTTTCCTCTTTTACCGCGCGAACGCCGCGGTGAACGGCGCTGATGTGTGCATCGCTCCGGCTTGAAAGAAACGCCAGAAAGAGGAAAATTATTATTCTTCAGTTTTCCACGAGAGATATTTCCTTCCTTCCCATTGCGAGAGAAGATT